AAAATATAATTTCGTGTACTAGTTTGGTAGTAAATTATGCCTTTTTAAACTTATGTTTAAAAAATGGTATTTTCTGGTTTTAAAAACGTTTAATTACGAGATTTACTGAGATCACCAACTGTTCGTTCATACTACAGCGCTTCATTAATTTATTAATAAAGCCTGTAATCTATACAGCATGATCTAAATCCATTGCATATTTTTGTGATAACTACGCAACCACTTCCTCATAGCGTCTACAAAAATGCCGACGTATTCTGTCTGGCCCTAATGTCGAGTCGCAACTCGTTCTATCAAGGTGAAAATGACGCATACAATTTTCGGCAAATCGTTCTGCGAATTTTGATGTAGTTTCTACGTATGTTTACGTATATGCACCGTCAACCCTCCGTTAAGAATGGTGTATTTGGCCTGTAGTGCTAACAAAGAGCGGCAGTACCATTTCAGGGTGTTTTCTAGGCTAATTAGCGTCTTGCAACGACTGTAATATCAGAAAGCGCAATCGATTTCGCATTCGGTTATGTAAATCGAAGGTGACTGGCAATTTTCGCCTATAGGAACAGCATCGGAAACAAATATTCTGGCCCTCGAATTAAACTATAGTAACATAGAATCGCCACGGGGGGTAGACAGGAGAGTCCCGAGAAGATCGCACGACATTTGAATATTTAAAATGGCCTGCGAGTCTAGACAACCAATGTTGGTTGGGCGACGTACAGCATCCAACCAAGCAGGTATTCAAAACACGGGTCAGGATTGGGCAATCGATTTTCTCCGGACAGTTTCAAAAGTTCTTAATATACCCCACCTACATGAGCACACTGCAGGGATGAGTTTTTAGCGGTAGCGTATTCGAACAACACTGCTCAGGGTTGCAGTGTCTTAAAATGCCTTCGAGAGTTTGGGTAGTTTCTGAACATACTCCGTTCAATAGTTCAATACTTTTTAGCAACCGTTAACAGTTGAGATAATCTCGCTCATTGGATTTCAAACAACCACCGCACTGCGATGCAGTCTCGACAAGTACGCTGCGATAGCCTCTGGGTTCATTTTCCGTAGCAAGCCGGGCAGGGCATACCCGGGGTTTCAATTTGTTGCTAGTTGAACATACGGACTACCAGCTGAGCCAGACGCTCCTAACCATGTACAAGCGGCAGGTCAGTATCAAGCCGACAGATAATGACATCGAAGAAGCAGCCGCTCCTGTGTCCTTGTTTCTCCGACGTTCCAACGGCCGCGAAAAGCTAGCTAACTAACAGGCGTTACGCAAGCACGACTAAGTCATAGTCCAGCTTTGACCTCACTAATCACGCGTCCAGCACTCACGCATGCTGACACATGCGTAAACATCACACCGCTGCTTGCACCCTCTCGAACATACGCTTTGTTCGGCCACGCAACCGAACAGCAACCTGTGCAGTGTACCGAGTAAATCGCTCTGCATAGTTGATTGAATTTATCTATTATACGGAGGTTCAAGCCGATCTTACATCCTCGAGCCCACCCATTGGTGACCCCGACGTTAGTTGAAGACGCAACCTTCTGATCGATAGTCGGACACTGGTGCGCATGCACGTGCTAGCAGCCACGAGAGGCGAGCTTTGCGCGCGGAGTGGGGTCAATAAAGCCT